GGCAGGGTCTGGATGTGGCTCAACTGGAATGGTTTGAAAAGGCGCTTTGTGATGCAAAAGGAACTGAATATACAAGAGAGCACGCCGAAGTTTTGAGGGTCTATTTGAGCGAAGTACAGAGAGCATTGGCGACTAAAGTTGACTCAAGCAATATTGTCGAAAGCTTCCCTGCTTTATTTCAAGAGATCGTTTCTGGAGAAACCATGCAAAACTTAAAGGCCCGAGTAGAAGGAATCGAAGGTAGATCACAAACCCAAATCGAAAGTGGGACGAACGAAACCATTGTTAATGGCCAGCATCGTGTCACGCCGGAAAATCGTGACGCACCCGAAAGCGGAAGTAGTTCGGTACTTCCAAATGACAACGAGGAGCCATGTGTCACGCCACAAAACTGTGAAAACGGCCAGGGGTTATCAGAAGACATCAAATCCACCGCGAGCTTCGATTCCATGGAAAATTCTCGACCAGATCCAACAAGCGATAGTCTAGATGACAAGAGTGAAGACACCACGAAAACGGATGAATCCGGAACAGAAATGAGAAACTGAACTGTGAAAGAAACGCTGACCTCTGAAGATGTGACACACAGTGAAGATGATAGAGAAAAAGCCGAAAAGAAAGAGACATGGAGAACATATCGCTGGTTGGAACACTTGTTAGGAACTGGAACTGAGATGAAAGAGGGAACGGCAAAGAGTAAGGAGTATAAGCGAAAGGAAGGAGTTGATCTCGTCCCTGCATTGAGATCCCAAGGATGGCCAAAGGTGGCAAGGGAATGGATCAAAAGAGACCGTAAATGGCCTTCCCCTGAAATTGTCGACAAGGTCATTCAGGAGGGGTACCACATGGTTGTTAAGCCCCCAAAGAATGGCGATTCTGAATGCTACTTCAGAATATCCTTTTCCCATGCTGAATTCTTGTTAAGCCAAGAGATGAACGAAGTCCAACGGGAGTGTTATCGTTGTCTGAAAAAAATTCACCGCGCTCATCTTTCCAAGCGGGCGGGCTTAGTGACATTTCATTCGAACGCGGGCTTAGTGACATTCCATTTGAAGAACATCTTTCTGCAAACGATCGAAGAGACCGGTGCCGAGATGTGGACTGAAGGCAACAGAGCAGAGTGCATGATGAAACTTCTCGACAACCTTTTGGAAGCTCTTACAAAGAAAGATTTGCCTCATTTCTTTGTGAGCTCATACAATCTGTTTGGAGTGGATTATATTGAAGATCCCAAGATTCTTGAATCCCTAGCCGAGAAAGTTAAGCAGATCATGGAAAGTCCATTGGACTTTTCAAAGAAGTTGATCCAGCAGTATCGAGACGATGCGAAGAAAGTCGAAGAGCATGAATGCGAAGAAACTGAGAAGACTGGATCTGGAGGACATAATGAGAACCAAAGCAACGAGGAAACGTCAACAGCCCCTCTACGGCAAACGGGATTAACACAAGGAATCAGTGCAATTCCAAGTTTTGGATACCATGAGCTGGAAGATATTTGCCTCGAGGTCTGCAAGGAGTTGATCGATAAGGCGTTAAACGGCGCTGACTGCGACCTTGAAACCCTGGATCCTGTGGAAAGATCCTTGGTCGAAGATCTTAGAGAGCTGGCAAGCATTCATGGCTTAAAGGCTGAAGAATTCCTTACAGTTATTAAAACCTGCTGGGGAAGCACGATGTGCTACCAAGTTTGGATGAGCACCGAGCCCGACATGAGGCGTCGTATGCTTGATGCCATTCAAGGTCATGTCGAAATGATCAAGTGGATGTTGAAGCAGGACGATTTCGCAGCTGGAAACGAGGAAGCTATCGCCGACAGAATGCTTGATCCTACCGTTGACGATCCCTTCGACTTGAGCCATGTAATTCCGGCTGGCGGTGTAGCACAGCTTTTAGGCAGAAGCATCGAGAGTCTTGGGCAGAGTCTAAGTCAACCAACTCAGCTGCACGTGATGAATATGGATGACATTCCATTAGACTGACTTGAACCATCTACTGGATATTGCAATTATTGCCAGAACCGGGTTTGTGCCACTTCGTCATTTTTCCATAACACAGCAATTCAATTGGCCATTTCCTTTGGCTTCTGTGTGAAAACGAGTCTTCATGTGAAACCATTCATATGAAAATGAGTTTCGCCTGCAGATTCATTTTCATGCATATCAAACTCATTTTCGTATGAAACGTTTTCCACGAGGACTCGGTTCGATACAGAGACTCAAGGTAACTCGGAAATAGTCTTTTACTCCCCCACAAAATGGTGGGCGTCAGAAATCAAACATGTGTCACAAATTGTTCAGGAGAAAGACCTTTGTAAGGCTATTTCTACGAGCGTAAATTGCTGGTTACTTAGAATTTCCACATGAAAAATGGAGAAAATGGGAAGCCAGGATTGCATGTTGTTAATTGACTCGAGTAATAAATTAGATGCTTTAGATTTACATTTGGGAGCGCTCTAATTGGATGAAAACGTAGTTTGGTTTTATCAATCGGAATTCAACAAAAGTCACAAGCCTTCAAATTGTGACTTAGATTAGCTTGTATTTACAAATTTTCCCGCGTTTGGGATGTCACATGTTTTTTTTTTACGTTTTGATTGGTTCATAGCGCTTCTTGCTTTGTTTGATTGGGCAGATGCGATTGCTTTGTTACCCTGGGTACCAGAGATAACCGACACCGGAAACCGCGCAGGAAAAACCTCTGGCACCCAGGGTATTGCTTCGGTTTTGTTTCTACTGTAGGTAGAAGTTATGACGGCTTTATTGTGCGTTTATAACTGCTGAATTTGATGCCAGTCTAGCACGCGTTGATATACGATGACAGTTATAACCAACACATCATTGAGTTAAAGATCATTAAAGACTCGAATTGCGGAGCACAAAAAGGCAGTGGCAGGTTTTGACCAAAACTCTAAAGTTGCAAGCCACGCCCACCATTTCAACCACAACATGAACTTTGAAAACGTCAAGGTCGTTGGTTTCGAAGCTAATTACCACGAGCGACTTTTCCTCGAAGCCTGGCACTCTACTTTGGACCCGAACGCTGGGAACGATCATATTGTACTTCCAGAAGCCTACAAAGGCATCGCGCGAGCATGAATTACATGGTCACGCGCGCAAGCTTCGCGTCACGTTACTTTAAATAGCGTATGACAACGAATTTGGTTTTCATATCACTGATGAAGGCTTAAGCATTAGCCGAAACATCTGTTGAAAAATATCAAGAGTCAGTGGCAAACCTTTTTCCATAGAACTTATGACAGCACTGAGTTGATCGCATTTATTTGGTAACCAACAATAGCGAATTAAATCATTGGTTTACTTAATTCTTCACTAAATTACTGCAGTATCCCTTCGTATCTAAATAGACAGAACGATAGATATTTCAGATTGTATATCTATGACAGTAAGAACGGTGGCAGTGTCCACTACGTGAGATGAATGAAACACGTCAGGAAAGCGAGCGGGAAGACAACTTTCTCGAAACTTTTTCTCTTACAATGTTTTTTGCAGTCGATTGTATTTTGGACTGTAACGACGATTTAAGTTATCGAGAACATACGAAATAATTTCGAAATATTACATGCATGTTCCTGGCACAAGTGAAAGCAACGGTTTACTTGTCCTCCCGGCCCAGAGAACAACAGAGTAGAAAAAGTTTCTAATTGCGTGAAAGGAATGTCAACTTAAAACACCATTCAATTTCACTGACGTAGAGGGCAGAGGCTAGTTCTCTAAAACACCGCAGCAGATCGGGCAAGCCTTATAATAAGATAAAATATATTAAGATCGCATTTGACTTGTTAGTAGTGTTGAATATTATTATGTTAATGTTAGTAGTGTTAAATTCAAGATATGAATAATTGGACAATTAATTAGTAATAGTAGTAGTCGTCGTCGAAGTCGTCCCCGTCGCCGCAGCCGTCCACGGCTCAGAGGAAAACAATTAGTGTAATGAATAGGTGTAATCCTTTGTTTAATAAATGGTGATGATGATAACGGGTGTGGTGGTGATAATGAATCAGAAATACGTTTTATCATTTCACTGTCTTTCTCGTTCACACATATCGACTTGCTGGCTAACTGTGCTTTACAAAACGTTTGGACTTCTATGCAGTACAGTTGCATTAAGTCAGCTTTATCACTGAGTTACGTTTCATTCGTGTGATATTGGCTGGCACGACGTTAGCTGCCGTATAAACCTTGTTCTAAAAATGTGCTTTGAGCCTAAAATGTGGAAAGAACGTTTCCCGTTTATAGGGCACTCGTAACGGGTGTCGTCACGTAAGAAACGGTTGGGCGACGAAGTATAAAGACTTTTCTCTACCGGGGTGTAAAGGCCAATCTGTCACTTGGAAGATTTATCGGTTGGTTCAAAGAAGCGACGGTCATTAATGTATTTGCAATTTTGCGAGTATTTCTTGTGGGTTTAGGCAAATGAAGTGAATTCTTTGGCTGTTGGAGTTAAGAGAATAATGAGATCTGAAGGAAAATTAATTATTTGCTGAGGTAAACAATAGCTTCTCAGAACTTGCAACGTTTATGTCAATGCTGGGGGAAAGAAACACAACCGTTCTAAAATTAGTCGTGGATTGAGCGGGGAAAGAGTAAAACCCGGATTGGGTGACTCGCGTGACTACTTTGCTTGTCCTTTACTCCTAGCACAAACAAATTAAATTTTGACTTTTAAGGAAGAAAGCTGTTTATTAATAGCGTTATTAATAGCGTGATACTCGTTTCCTTTTCGTATCACCATTTATGGGCATGTTCCGAGCGAACTTCCAGATTAAGACCATTACTTCATCCTAGATTTCACAAAGGCTTAGGGCGATGGTACAATAATCAATTGATCAAGTGATGTGGTTTCTACAGTAATCAATGAATCATGATCATAAAGGACTGCTTTGGAATGTGCACTGTACATGTGTTGCGACTGTAGTACTAAGAAAACAGTTAAATTTCAAAAGCGCGGTTATAAGATCTAAAAGATCTTCTTGTTATGAATTCGGCAGTAAACTTTAAGAGAACTTCCATGTCGACTAAAATGGCGGAGTCAGTACACGATACGGATTACCAAGAACTAAACGTCGTGTTTAAGTCGTTAGGAGAGAGAGGAAAGGAGGCTGAAACAAAGACGGAGTACAAAGACCATGTTGCGGTTTACGTTTTACAGCGGTTGTCAGAGTACTTAAGCCAAGCAACTGCAAATCGCATCATGGCCCTTCCTTATGGAAGTGCAGTGGAAGACTTAAAGAGTCTTGTACCAGACGATTATGGAGATGTGGATATCATGGTCTTCCCGACATCAGGTAACTGTTTGGTGCACGAGGAGCTACTGGAATATTCACCTGAGAATCCACTGCATGCAAAAATTAAAGGACGCGATCATCCCGTGTTTAAGTCCTGCCTCGTGGAAGACACCGATTATGTGGCCACCTCAGCCTTGAAGAATTTCCATTCTGCAATTTATGGGATTGCGGCGCCCGGGTTACTCGATCTTCTTAAAC